TACTTTCCGTACCCACTGTATATATATATATATATATATATATATATATAGTATACATTTATTATACAATACATATATTTAATGAATTATAAATGATCAAATAATTGAATGTATTATTAAATTATTATTTTTTTTATTATTAAAGGTATATTATTAAATTAAATTAACTATAAATATTATGAATATAATTAAAAGATGAGATCTTACAAGCTGGCATCTGCCCAGTACAGCCTTTGATCGTCATAGTCCAGTGTCAGACCATTTGGCCAAACCAGACTAGTGTTGACGATCTCTGTCCTGAAGTTTCCTCCCAGAGTTGCACGCTCTATCTTTGCATTGGTTCCCCAGTCGGTCCAGTACATATACCTGACAGCATATACAGAGAAATGCATTTAAATTAGATGATAAAATGGCTCATTATACATCTAAACCACAGTCTAACTGAATGAGAGGCTCACCCTCTACATGGATCCAGCATGATGGCTCTGGGTCTGGGCACCTGTGCTACAACAGTCCTCTGAGACCCATCCACTGCCATTGAGCTGATGCTCTGGTTAATGTAGTCACTGTAATAGATCCTCTTATTGATCCAGTCATAGGCAATGCCATCAGGAGCTCCCAGATCTCCACAGTTCAGAAAAAAAGTTATAAAACTTTATAAGGAGCAAAGGTTTGGAACAACATGAGGTGGAGTAAAAAACTGTCCCTTTAAATCTAATTTTTGCTAACTTTCTAATTTAATGTGCTTATCAACAGTTTTTATCATTATATTTGGTTGTTATACTGTATTTATCTTTGTGTGTATCACTCAGGCAGCGTTGTGTGCTTGCTGAAGATACTTATGCAGCCCATCTTTTCAAATACATAATATTGCTTTAAAATACCAAAAGAAAAATCACGTAGCATGTTACAGGACAATCTTCAGGTTGCATTTGGTTTATTATATTATATTATATTATATTATATTATATTATATTATATTATATTATATTATTATCAACCAGCTTTTGTACATTTCTGCACACATTTTACTGTGACTCTCAGACAGTAGACATGATCCTGAATAACTCCAGAACTGAACATTTGATCTGCTCAAACCAAAATGTAAAATAACATTAACAATTATGATAATTTTCTGCCTGAGAAACAAATAACTTCTCTCATGCTTTCTTTCTTTTTTATATTTCACAATAAAAGAACAAGTTTGCTTGCGTGGTACTACATAATGCCTAAATAACCTCCAGTCTGCAAACTAACCACTGTAAATGTCACACGAGATACTTTGTCAAGCCAACATTCAAAGACTGCCTTAACGAACTTTCCATTTCTAGCTAAACCTGCAGTGTCAGGGTGCATTAGGAGTTTAAATAAGCTGCTCACCTGAGGCCACCTCTGTCACAGAAGAGGTAGGCGAAGCCAAAGTAATGAAGCTAATCTTGCTCTGGCCCGCTCCCGAGCTCTGGGTGAAATAGATCCTACCGTCCAACCGGTCGAAATCAAGGGCTACCGAAGTCCGGGGCACATTAACCACGGGGAAGGGCACCGAATGATCCTCTGGATCCAGCCGCAGAGATCGTACAGTGCTTTCGGTCGTATAAATAAGGTAGTCATCCCGGGATACCACACAACTGCTGCTATCCGCAGCCAGATTCCCAAAGGCACACGAACACTTCCTCATCTGAGATCCCCGGATGGCGAAGCAGAAGTGAGCGCAGCCGCCGTTAGACTCCAAGCAGGGGTTGTTATTGAGCTCGTGGGCCGAACTTGGCTGCATTCTCCGGTCGAAGATGGTAACGTCCCGTAGCATGTTGATGTTGTCTCGGATCACGAGCGGCTGGTCGGTCGCACCTGGCTGTTTGCTCGCTTGGAAGACTTTCTTCAGGTTTCTGTCCACCCAGATTACATTCCCCTCAAACACGGTGATGCCATACGGAGTCGGATAGCGACTCCCATACCGTACGACCTCCGTCTCGCCCCCCTCGGGCCGGACTCGTGCGATCATGTCCAGGGAATCGTCCACCCAGTAGATGTATCCGTCTCGGTGGTCCAAAGCCAGGCCTCTGGGGGTGACGATGCCTGAGGAAACCAGCACGGTCCGGTTGGAACCATCTAGAAAAGCTCGCTCGATTTTGGGGGTCTGTCCATAGTCGGCCCAGAAGAGGTATCTGTTCATGGGGTCCACCACAATATGACGAGGCATGTCTACTTGGGTCTTTAGAAGGACACGACGGAACGTGGTATTGAGTCGAATCACTGAGTAATGATGCTGAAAATTCAGCTTTGCATCACAGGAATAAATTACATTTTGATATATATTCAAATAGAAAACATGTATTTAAAATTAAAATAATATGTAACATTTTTACGGTATTTTTGATCAAATTAATGCAGTTCCGGTGAGCAAAAGAGACTTTTAAATGGTAGTGTACATATATTGAGAATAAAACAATTATAATGTCAGATTAGGTCAATGCCAATTACAACTTTGGGTTGCTTATTCACATATTCAGGTCAAAAGTGTATGTTTAACAAGCCATGGGTCACTGAGGCCTGAACCATCTGAGCCTCTTTTCTGTCATATGTTAATCTTTAATCTTCTCCAATGCCACCTGTCTGTGCTTATACTGATGTGAGTTAATGTTAATGTCCCTACGGTAAGGCTGTCACCATTCTGACCTCTAAAGCTGCTCTAGAACATTCCTCATGTAACACTCCATGAGTCCAGGTATCACCGTCAGCACCGTCTATCGCGGCAAGCCTAGTCCAGTGTATCTGAAGTACACAGTGTCACAATTGTACTGTATTACCAGAGTCAAACAAGTTACCAAATCTGATTTCAACATACAACAAGCACACAAGCCCTCACCTGCGGCCCAGTCGACAGCAATGCCCCGTATGCCATTACGTCCGATTCCAGAGGTGACAATACTGCGGAATCCAGATCCGTCCGGTTTGATCCTGCGGATTCCATTCTGAGACGCCACGGTGCTGCTGAAGTCACACCAGTAAATGAATCCAGAAGGAATGTGCACGTCTACATGAAGAGCATTGCGGCCTACAGGACACACACAGAAACACCCATGCACAAAGTTTTTTATTGTACTATGCATGTATCATCATACACATTATTATTCATATATTATATGTGACCCTGGACCCCAAAACCAGTCTTAAGTCGCTGGGGTATATTTGTAGCAATAGCCAACAATACATTTTATGGGTTAAAATTATCGAATGTTCTTTTATGCCAAAAATCATTAGGATATTAAGTAAAGATCATGTTCCATGAAGATATTTTTGTAAATTTCCTACCATAAATATATCAAACCTTAATTTTTGATTAGTATTATGCATTGCTAAGAACTTAATTTGGACAACTTTAAAGGTTATTTTCTCAGTATTTAGATTTTTTTGCACCCTCAGATTCCAGATTTTCAAATAGTTGTATCTCGGCCAAATATTGTCCTATTGTCCAAAAAATTGACCCTTATGACTGGTTTTGTGGTCCAGGGTCACATATTTGCAAAATTATGCTGGCAATGTACAATAAAGCAACATTGTGAATAACTGTGTTTTTTATTTGGCTGTAAAGTTTAATAGTGTCTCTGATTTAAATATCAGTAGCAAAAATGACATTATAGTTGGTAAATGTAATTCACTTCTGTGAGTCAGTTCAAACAGTCCACTTCAATGAATATATATGTGTATATGTATGATCTATTATTAAATTGCGTGTGTGTATGTGTATGTGCCATTTTTCATGTTAAAATATTTTAAGTATCATTCCACCTTGTGTTTACGTTTAGGCGATATGAATTTATATTTTTTAAGCTAGATTTTTTACTGTATTTTAATTTATTAATTACTCGTAACATCTTGAATCTATTGGCTTTAATGGAAATACATAAATATTAAAATATTAAGAGATATATTGTTTGTTTGTGTGTGTATAGTATTTAGAACAAATTATATATATTTTTAAAATATAATAAAAATGGGATAAAGACTATTTATTCTCTTTATTACAAAATAGTAAACATTTATTATTTATAATACAAAATAATTAATATCATATAAAGAGAATAAAATAATATAAAATGTAAAAAAAACAATTGGGAAATAATATAGGTATGAATAAATAAATAAATATCCATTTAAATAAATAAATATAAAATCATTATAATATATATCAAAATTGTACACATACATTTATTATAATTATTATATTATCTCAATTAAATATATTATAATGTTTTATATAATAGTATTTTTTTTCTATACCACCCAGTCCTACTGAACCCCACCTCTGCCTGCCACAGGCACCATAGACTCGGAGTGATCCGCTCCCTCCAGACTGAAGCCCTTGATGGCAGTGAGCATAGAGATCACCACATAGGATTGGTATGGAGAACAGGTTCTGTTATCAGCACTGAGTTTGAACCCAGTCGCACAGGCGCAGCTGAACAGGCCACCGGGACGAGGCAGACACAACTGCTCACACGTCCCCACGTTATTACTGCAGCCGTTAGACGAGCCTGCTGAGGCTATGGGGAGACAAACAGCAGATAATGAGAATGAGAGACAGATATTTAATACTGCAAATATGTAACCGTAAGAGTACATGATACTGACTCATATCTATCTATTCTGGTAATGTATACACATTCCTGGTGCATATCAGTGTGTAGCAGTACTGATATATTGGGACTCTGCTTTGCTAGCACTTCCAGATCTTACTGGAAGCACTTATACAATAGACGGCGTTCACAGCCCTGGAGAATGAACATGTGCACTGAACACCGAACAAAGGGACACTGATTCTTCTCCGCATAAAGCTGACTGTCCCCCTGAGGCAGAGGGGAACTAATTGGTAAACTGATATCCTATTGAAAGTCATTCTTCGCTCTCTGGTAATTGCTACACGGCCATCAAGGTTACGATGACTTCCAGAAAAGACCACCCTACGTCAACCACAGAATGAATCAGAGATAAATGTTAAAAAAATGGCACTGAGAGATGCCTACACAGGCAGCAATTTGAGGTTCAATTGCAGCAATTTAGCTTTTCAGCTGCACACACTCCAAAACCAACTGCTACCTTGATCAATATAATCAAAGAACATGTTACAGTATTTTTTCTTCAGAATTGAAATTAATCCAAATGAAAAATTTGATTATTTTACCCAACATTTGCGTCATGTGTTGTTTTATGCTTATTAGAATTCATATCCAAAAAACAATATTCCAAAAGTACTTTAAATTTAATTGATATTAATTAAAATTGACTATTTTACCCAACATTTCTGTGTGATGTGTAGTTTTATGTGTATTAGAGTTCCCACTGTTAGCTTAGCAACATGCTAACAATGTCTAAAGCTGTATATTGTTATTGTTATATATGTGTGTGTGACCCTGGAGCACAAAACCAGTCATAAGTCGCACGGGTATATTTGTAGCAATAGCTAACAATACATTGTATGGGTCAAAATTATCGATTTTTCTGGTTTTGTGGTCCAGGGTCACATATATATGTATATATATATATATATATATATAAATATATGATTATTTTAAAACATATATTTCATTTTAATAAAATCTTATTTTAATAAAAAAAAATTAAACTGTTTTGTTGCTGGTTACTGTATGATGACTGAAATCGCGAAATGGCCTTCAACAATTAGTAAATAAACTGCAGAACGTTATGTTTTCTAATACACGCACAAATTGCATGTATTCTGACAGCGCTATCTGCTCGTAATCCAGGGTTCAAAGTCCAACTGAAACCGTGTTACTCGTCAGTTGCTCAGTCACATTTTTATGATTTTTTTTACAAGGCACGTGACAATGCAATACGTGCGACGTATTCGTAATGAGACTCATTTATAAATCTGCTGTTGTCAACAA